GGTGCTGAGAAGGTCGGGGCCGCGTCTGCTTCGAGCGGGCGCCGCAAGAGCAAAGGGGGCAAGGGTGGAGGTGGCGGCGGAGGAGGTGGGGGTGGAGGCGGTGGGAGTGGAGGAGCGGCTGGGGAGGCTAGTGGCGGCAGTGGGGGTGGTGACAGCAGCGGCGGGAGTGGCGGCAGGGGTGGAGGCGGCAGCGGAGGCGGAGGTGGTCGTGGCAGCGGCAGGGGTGGAGGTGGCCGAGGCGGTGGCGGCGGCAGTGGTGGTCGTGGAGGCGCTGGCGGTGGCCAGAGTCAGCAGCCCGCCCCGTCACTTCAGGCCGCCCGTGAGTGGTATGCGCAGCGTGGCTTTACCTGCACGTACGTCATTCGCACTGGTGACCGCACTGGCCAGCAGTGTGGGAGGCCGCATCCCACACAGCGCTGTTTCGCGCGCCTTACTGACGCGTGGCGTGCCCAGTTTCCTGATGCCACTGAGCTGCCCCGCTGGGCTGATCTGGAAAAGAAGGGTGTTGATATCTGGGCTTTAGACTTTGATGCTATTCTCACTGCCATGTATGCGATGTTTACTAGTGGAGAGGGTGCTCAGTACTTGCGTGTTCCGCCCGACCCGGGCATTCAGACCAGTCCGGCTGCCGCTCTAGGTGCTAGTGAGTCTGCTGCCCCAGGTCCTGGTGAGGCTGCTGCTCTAGGTGCTAGTGAGTCCGTGCCCTCTGGTACTGAGTCGACTGCAGCACTGCACACCTTCACACTGGACTCAGGTGCTTCTCGTTGTTTCTTTCGTGACCGCACTGTCCTTGAGCCGCTTGCTCGGCCAGTTGCTGTCTCCCTCGCTGACCCCTCTGGGGGTCCGGTCGTTGCGACCTCCTCCACTGTCCTTCCTTGTCCTGCGGTCCCGTCAGGCACACTGTCAGGTCTCTACCTCCCCTCGTTCTCTACGAACTTGGTGGCAGGTAGTGCGCTCCAGGACGGGGGTGTTCACCAGTTCACCCCTGCTTACGAGCGCGTGACGCACTGCACGTGTGCTCGGACGGGCCGTCACCTGGCTACCTTCACTCGGCAGCCGGGGTCGGACCTGTACACACTGACCACTGAGTCCCCTCAGGTAGCTGCGTCCGCGTCTGCGTCTGCGTCAGGTCAGCTGTCCGCCCCCTGCTCGTGTCGCTCTCTGGCGCATGAGACTGTCCTCTGGCACCACCGCCTTGGTCACCCGTCTGTGCAGCGCCTTCGGGCCATGCACAAACGGGACCTTGTTGCTGGTCTTCCCAGGGTTCTCCCTCCCCTCCCACCCTCGCCTGCTCTGGTCTTCCCTGTGTCGAGGGGCGGCAGCGCGCCGCTCCTCACTCCTCCTCCTTTCCCCCGACGACTGCTCCTTTGCAGACGCTCCACATGGACGTGTGGGGCCCAGCCCGCGTCCGTGGTCAGGGTCAGGAGAGGTACTTCCTGATTGTTGTTGACGACTTCTCGCGCTACACCACGGTCTTCCCCTTGCGCACCAAGGGTGAGGTCCCTGATGTCTTGATCCCCTGGATCCGCAGATCTCGTCTCCAGCTCAGTGAGCGTTTCTGCTCCGACTTCCCTGTCCTGCGTCTGCACTCTGACAGAGGTGGGGAGTTTTCCTCTGGCCTCTTGGAGGCCTTCTGTCAGCAGGAGGGCATTGAGCAGTCGTTCACGCTTCCGGCCTCTCCACAGCAGAATGGGGTTGCTGAGCGCCGCATTGGCTTGGTCATGGAGGTAGCTCGTACCTCCTTGGTTCATGCGGCTGCCCCCCACTTTCTGTGGCCGTTTGCGGTCCGATACGCTGCGCATCAGCTCAACCTCTGGCCCCGTGTCTCCCTACCGGAGACTTCTCCGACACTGCGTTGGACGGGAGAGGCTGGCGATGCGTCGCGTTTTCGGGTCTGGGGATCCCGAGCTTTTGTTCGCGACACGTCCGCGGACAAGCTCTCCCGTCGCGCTGTCCCCTGTGTCTTCCTTGGCTTTGTCCCGGACGCGCCTGGTTGGCAGTTCTACCACGCCACCTCGCGTCGTGTCCTGGCCTCTCAGGACGTCACTTTTGACGAGTCCGTCCCCTACTACCGCCTCTTCCCCTACCGCACTGCCCCGCTCCCCCCCCCCCCCGCCTCTCTTCCTCGCTCCAGGTGCTGAGGTACCAGACCCCCTCCCCCCTCAGGGTGCCGCTCCCTCAGGTGTGTCCCAGGTAGACCCGGGTGAGCCTGTCGAGGTGGCTGTCGACTCTCGTCCTGCTGGGGGTGCTGAGCCTGGGGGTGCTGCGTCTGGGGGTGCTGAGCCTGGGAGTGCTGAGTCTGGAGGTGCGGAGCCTGGGGGTGCT